GTTTTTATAATAAATTGCTGACAGTACAATACTGGACAATGATGTAATCTGCAGAATTTACACTTCAATTATGAGACTACAGTGTTTCCCATACATTGAGTGCGGGTGTTTTTATATCACTGTATTTCTGAAGGAAACCGACTGTCTTCAGAAAAGTGGATGTCATTTTCATTTAATCTTGCATGTAATGTCTGATAAAGCAGTGTTTTTTTGAGCGGAGCGCTACTTTGTGTACAGCCGTTACCGGGGAAACCTTGATCTCTGCAACTCCAACAGCGCCTCCTGCTGGCAGAGAATGAGTTTGCATATATATGCCGCCTGGGAAACACTGGACTATGGTATAAATAAATTCAACTGTATAACAGTGTCACTGCAATTCATGTTATAATGTTAGAATTAAATAATAAAAAGAATACATATGCATTTATCTGTACATAGTAAATGCAGTTATTTTTAAGTGGTTGTTGACATCCCATCTAAAACGTGATTTAGCCAAAAAAACAAAAAACAACAATAACGTTACCACTCTAATATGTCTTGCAATATTCGTGTGTGCAAAGGTTTTGCGCGATCGTCTTGTTCAATATTCTCTGGGTCTGAATCCGGCTCAAATTGATATGGCAATATTGACGCCATCCTTAACTAAACCGCCAATCACAATGCACTGGGACAGCTAACCAATCACATCACATTTAGTTTTCCGGAAGGCGGGCCTTCATCAAACCCGGAACTAATCGAGCCGTTTGTACCAGGATGGGGAGAAAGGTATTGTAATAATGTAAATTATGTAAAAAAAAATGCGTTTTTCAAACCACCAAGCATGAGAGCATGTTCTAGTACACCCCCAAAACAAATTCAAGACATTGTAAAAGAGCATAATAGGACCCCTTTAATGGAATATTTTACCTTAAAATTAAAATTTGCTGAAAATTTACTCAGCCTCAGATGAAGATGATTTTACTTCTTTCGAAACAGATTTGGATAAATTTAGCAACAGCTCATCACAGTACATCACAAAACATCACAGTAATCCACAAGTAATCAACAACAAATCAACATCAGTTACTGTCTTGTGAAGTGAAAAGCTGTGTGCGCGCAAGAAACAAATCCATCATTAAGACATTTTAACTTCAAACCATCAATTCAAGCCAAAATACCTTAAACACCTTAATATTGCTTCCTCCATCCCCTCATATCAAAATCCATCAACATATTTGTTTAGAACCATTTTGGACTGTTTTCGCTTGTAAACGGCACTTGGCCTGTGCGTATTCCTCTCGGATGAGACGACTTTTTTCATTAAGAGAAAGCAATGTTATGGATAGTAGAAGTAGTAGGTTTGAAGTTAAAAACATCTTAATGATGGATTTGTTTATTACAAATACGCAGCTTTTCACTTCAAAATATGTTAATTGATGGACTGGAGTCATGTGCATTATTGTGATGTTTTTATATCAGCTGTTTGAACTCTCATTCTGACAGCACTCATTCACTGCAGCGGATCCATTGGTGATCAAGTGATGTAATACTAAATTTCTCCAAATCTGTCCCAATGAAGAAACAATCTCATCTACATCTTTGATTATGCGAGGTGAACTATAGTAATCAGGACTAGAGCAACTTCTCAGGAAGGGTTGAGAACGTACCTTCATATTCTGCCTTCTTAGAAGTTTCCAGGTTCCTCCATTCTGTGCCCACCAGTCGGCTCAGCTCTCCAAAGGAGAAATCAGGGTGACGAGCCTTTATAATAGCCCTCACTTCACTGCTAAACAGGATGTAGCCACTCATGTTGATCTTGCGCTTGGCTCCTTCCTTTTTTGACATACCCTTAATCTTTGGTGTGGACTGTGCAACGCAAACAGGGGTGTAAAGAAAATGTCAGGAGAATAGAAGTTGATCAAATTAAAACTAGACAGTTGAAGATTTTGAATATATGATTGTATATTGAATATGATAACTAGCTATCAGAAAACAATGGATTTCTGATAATAACTAACTATATAATGTCCACAACACAAATTAATATTTATTCATGTTTAATTGTTTCATGTTTGCTAAAAATCACTAGTTATGATGCACACAATTGTAAAATGATTAATATCGGAATATTCTTGTGCACATAAAACTGGACAGGATGGGTAATGACTGATTTCTTGGGAGATTGGAGTACCTGTGGTGGTGTATAAGGCATATCCACGTCACTGGTTGTAGATGCCTGACTGGGTGGCATTGAGGGCGTCGCTGCTGCTTCGTCGTCATCATCCAGATCATCCATATCTTCATCCAGATCCTCCATGTCTGCAAACTTAGCCTCTAGCTCCTCAATCTTCTTATCCAGCAGGGGGGATGGCACCTTCTGGGGCACGGTGGGTTTTCTGAAAATTAATTTAAAGCATCAATTAGTCGATTAACCCAGTCAGTCATTTCAAGCCTTAGTTTGAAGTCTGGCACATTAAAGGCACAATATGTAAGATTTTTTGTATTAAAATATCCAAAAACCACTAGAACAGTGTTATATATTTTGCTGACTTGTGTACTTACATTATCCCAAATGTTTCGAAGAATGTTTAAATCCAGAGAAATAAGCAATTTTAACTAGTGACAGTGAGCGTGTCCATAGTGTCATTGTGTCGCCTGCCAATGACGTCATAACCCCTCGATTTCCGGTTTTGTTTTGTAGAAAACATGGAAACACCAAATACGCTTTAATATGTTGTGCGTTTTATTAGACCGATGACGACTGCACAGAGTTGCATAATAACAGAACTTTCAAATGTATCTAGTATGATAAAACATGACCGGAAGGAGCGGAAGCGGTTGACTGTGTCATAATAAAAGCTCCGCTGCTTTCGAGCCGTGTGTCACGCTAGTTCAGCGGCCTCGTTTCGCTTCGACGGCTTTCAGCCTCACCCTGCTTCATTCTACTACGTTAACAAATCATTAGCTCATCCATGAACATGATTTCTGCCCGAGTCCCGTCGGATTGCATCGGCTGTGGAGATGAATACGACAACTCCCATGATTCTGATCTTTAAAAAAGCATCATATGACCCCTTTAATAACAGCAATAAGACATACTAAGGAACTTTTGAATAACCTCTTCATATTCACATAAACACACTCTGGCTGTAACACATACTGCCCACTAAAAGTAAGGTAGGAAAGTAAAAAGCACCTAAAGTAGAAGATCTCATCATCAACCACTTTGGCTGAGAGGGAAAAGCGTTTAAGGGCTTTAAACTTCTTCATATGCTTTTCACTCTCAATGTAGCGACTTTCAAACAGGAGCATGTCTTCTTCTGGACATTCAGTTGGTCTGCAGGACAGTATGTCCTTAAAAGAGGAGACCACACATTTCCCTGTGAAAAGAAAGATAAAGACTTAAAATTTGGTCTATAGTAAATTTTCAAATAGAGTCAGTTTTTTTCCAATACAAGGTAAGGAACCGAAGAAGAGAACAGAGGAATTAAAATGAAAATGTTCAAGCACTTAATCAGCTGTATAACTCCCATTTGTGGGAATGCAGTCTTAGAAGTTTCAACATGATAAATTTGCTACTGGATCTGCAATCATTTATTTCACTTGGCTGCTTTTTGTTCGTACTCGAGCCAAGTGATCCCGCACAAGTGATTCAATTATGCATTCAGGGTTTGGAGGTGGCTAGTTTTAATAATAATAATAATAATTAATAATTTAATAATAATTTATGCATTTAGCAGACGCTTTTATCCAATTCAGGCTATACATTTTTTACCAGTATGTGTGTTCCCCTGGGAATCGAACCCACAACCTTTTGCGCTGCTAATGCAATGCTCTACCACTGAGCCACAGGAACATAGTATAGTATAGTATAGTTTTTGCAAACTTCCACAAGAAGTAGGAATTCATTGTATTTCCAGTGTCTTTGTGAAATGAAAAGTCTCTCAGCATGTTAATGATCCCAAAGGCACCAGCAGGTGACAAGAATGGTTGGCAACACTAGGATTTCATTACAATTACAATGAATTCACTCCGTGCCCATACCTAAGATGCAGGTCATAGGACAGGTCTCCTCCAGGCTGCTGAGGAACACCTCACGTTTGTAGAACATCTTTGTTGGCTCATGTTCTGTTTCCTCAGGGTGGATGAAGATGGGTCCAAAGAAGAATGCTGCTCCATCCCGCAACCACATCTTCTCGATTCTGTCCATATCAACCATAACAACTCAGACTATTGCTGTAGGCTTATATTACTGTCAAATCTTTGTGGTCAATGTGTACTTTTATAATGAGGTATGTCTGTAAAATAAGCATGATTGTGCCCACCTGCCAACTCGTGGTCGCACCAGCCTGTGGGAGCGTATGTAGACACAGTCACCCAATTTAAGCCACATGTCATTGTAGCGGAGCTGTTCATAGTACTGGCATCCAGGCTCCCCATTGGCCACTTCGACTGGAACGTCTTCTTGCTCCTGTGGAGAGTAGGTTCAAAATAGTGTTATATGATTAATTTAAGAAAAAAAAAAAGTACTCAAAGTCATTAATTTCCTTCATACCTTCTCGACGAAGCCCCCGTTCTCTCCATCAGGAAGATCAGACACTTTGTCTTTAGCACTGACAAACATGGAGGCAACTCTGACTATGGGTAACGGAACCTCCCGAGGGACTAGTTTGACAGAGCTTGGTGGCATGGACCATATTTTGATCTTCTTGAAGGTTTTGGTCCTGGCAGTGTAGCGGGATTCGCAGACATAGACGTCTTCGGGTCTAAAGCCTTCCGGTTGCGACTTAAAATACTCCTAAAACAATAATCCCACATTCAAGAGAATTAAATGCAACATACATCAAGAGCTTGGAGGAACATATTGAAAGTAAAGTATGAGAATATAGACATACATATTTAGCATTAATAAAGAATTATATATATATATATATAGAATTATATACATCTCATTAATTTTACTTTCAGTGCAACGCATAGCCTCTTGTGGCTTAAAGATGACAAAGTGGCTTTGTCATATACATTTATAATTAATTTAAACATATCTAACATAAAACATATTTTGGCTGTGGCTCATGTTACTCACCTTTACGAACAACACAACACATTTCCCCAAGATCTTGCTGAAAGACACACGGTTATTGTAGTCGCTCTTGAATACTTCCTTCTCCAGAAACTTGCGCGTTGCCAGATGGAAAGTTTCTCCTGGACGATAAAACAAACATCCATACATCCACTGCTCACCTGCAGTCAATGTGGACAAATGAAGGTGATATGTCAGTGAAAAAGCAATAGAGAATTAAGCAACAGCAATAAAGAAAAAGTGAGAATGTGTGCACCAGCTTCGTCCTTCCAGAGTTTCTCAATGCAGACAATGTGAGGCTGCAAATTCGCTTCTGAAGGCTGAACATACACACAATCTCCCACGCTGTAGGTGTTGTTCTCAAAGTTGCAGTCCTGACTATATGAGCTTTGAGGACCAGAGGGCCACTGGCTTCCTGCAGCACCCTCTGCTTTGTCCTCTTCTGGAAGAGCTATTAATCATAAAAGCAAAGTGCACATTATTACACTTCTATAACAGTCATTATAGCAGCAAGACTTTAAAGGGTATCCCAAGGTGTTACATAGCTTTAAAAATGCTAAAAGCAACAGCGAAGAAATTTCTGAAAACATCAATAGCAAAGAACCTTTTTTGTCTTCCTCCCGTTTCAGCCGATCTTCCTCAATTTCTTGGGGCAGTTTCTCTCTCTTCTCTTGATCTATGTCGGCATGCAGATGTTTGGATGTGTAGCTCAGTGCTGGGGTCAGCAAGATTTCGCCATTCTTGCACAGCTCGTCACGGATCTTCACAAAGAAATGCTGTAACTCCACAGAATCCTCAAAGATCTCAGAATCGGTCCTGAAAGTGCACAACAGCTGTAATGAATTCTGAGATTACCGTTTCTAAAACTGACTTCTATTCATGATGACTCTACCGTCAAACTTCAATCTGTTAGACTTGAATGGAGCTTAAAGGAATTATTCATGAAGATTTTTTTCATCATTCACTCTGATGTCGTTCCAAAATCTTTTCTTCCATGGAACTATTGCTATTATGTTGCCAAATATGCCAGAGTGTTCAATGCAAAGCATTTAATAAAAACTGAAAAGCTAAACTACAGGATTACCTTTGATACACTTTCACAGACTGCATACATTTTAAATATTTTAAAGTCATATTTCAAGTTTTAAAATAATATTGTCACTGATTACATTTATTTAGAAAATATTTTCAAATAATGGAAATAATTTGTGTATTGAATATACATGTCTTGAATTCATTCAGTTGTGTTAAATGATCACTATACTTTTACTATACCTACTCTAAACATCATGAAAAATACTCTTCTGGTAAAATGTGCTTTTATTTTTTTGAAATTCCCTATTTTATATTTTAGAAAACAGAATTTTTTTTTTTTACCATTCAGTTTTTTTCCATACTTATCCTGACCTGGAAATAACTCAAATCTAAGTTCCTACTTTTCCATACTGCATAGGAACCCTTACATAATAAAATATTGATAATAATAATATGCATAATAAATGTCCCATAAAAGTGGTCCGATATGACTCACTCATATGCTAAATTGAGGAATGAGGTTTGAAAAAGACACAACGAAAGGAAGAGAAAACACTGGCTCATAGAGCAAGTCATATGGAGCCTTTTCTTTTTTTTCCTGCCATTTTTAAAGCCTAATGCCATTCCTGTTCATTTTATAGAAAGTGACATCTTTTGAATTCCAGTTTCTTTAATGATGACAAGAATAGCTGATTTTCACACTCTTCCTTGCTTACCTGTTGAGACGTCTTGCTTTCTCCAGCACCTCAAACACATGCTCTTGGAACACATCCAGTCTCCGATAGCGACCACGATCCACATTATTACGAATAATCTCTAAAGTGAGGGGTGGGTCCTCTGGGTTAGCAGGGTCAATGGCGGGAACCTCCGCCAAAGAGTCACTATAGCAGCGGCCTTCGTCATCCTGGTGACCCATCATCGAAACGAAGAGGTTCCGGATGAGCTCATGCACGAGAGAGGCAACTGACAAACCACCCAGTCCACCTTCATCTCCATCCTCTTCCTCCTCCATCTGTCGACGAGCTTCCAGAAAGGCTCGATGGAGCAGCAGTGCATCTCGGTATATTAAAGACTCTGGCTCGTTGTAGGTGCAGGCGTTGTTGAACATAAGAATTAAATCTTCTGCTAGCGAGTCGACGTCTTGGTAGCGTCCCTGCACCATGTAGCTGCGTATACGCTCCATGTCAATAGGACGCTTAATGGCGGCGTAATAGTCAGGCAGCTCAGAACGTGAAGGCAGACGCTGGAAGACGGTGCTGAGACGTCGGCCACGATTGTCTGTGAAGTTGCGCACAGCTTCGTAGAGATCAGTAAGCTTCTGCTGGAGTGGTGTGGTGTGAGTGCGGGCCTTTTTAGGGGAGGCAGCAACTCCACTACGGCCTAGAAAAAAAAGGAATTTAGTAAAAAAAATAAAATAAAAAAAAAAGTAGTTAAATCTAAAATGATGGTCTTCATTAGTTCATTAAGGTGTCCAATTTTAGCCAAAAAACATACGAAGCTTGAGTTTGGGAGAGCCCATGTCATCTTCCTCGGGGGGAGGGCCAAGCTCCTTCTGTTTATCCTTAACCATCTTCTCCAAGATGTTCGCATCATTATAAACCTGCGGGTAAAAAAATGAAATGGCAAGCATAAATTTCAAATTATACTATTAGGTCTATTCAATTTTAGACACGATATTCTCACACAATTAAATAATGAAGCAATATTATTTTCTGGATGAACTGTTCGTTTAACTGCTGTAGTACATCTCATTCTCATCATAGACATACTTGCAAAAGATAAGAATGAGTGCCTAAAGTTAGACAGAAGTTTCTTATGCTCACCAAAGCTGCATTTTTTGGCTCAAAAACAGAGTAAAAAACAGTTATATTGTGAATTATTATTACACTTTAAAATAACGTTTTTTTACATTTTTATATATTTTAAAATGCAACTTATTCCGGTGACACAAAGCTGAATTTATTAGCATCATTACTCCTGTCTTCAGTGTCACATGATCCTTCAGAAATCATTCTAATATGCTGATTTGCTGCTCAAGAAACATTTTTTATTATTATTATCAACATTAAAAATGATTTTTGTTGCTTAATATTTTTTGTGGAAACCGTGACTTTTTTTTTTTGAATTCTTTGATGAATAGAAAATTCTAAAGATCTGGACCCCAAACTTTTGAACAGTAGTGTATTACAATTTAGCATTCAGCTTGAATAAAGTTATGATGCCCACCTGAGATCCTTCCTCATTATAGTGGCGGGCATTACGAAACATAAGCTTCATGCCATCCATAAGTGCTTCCTCATTGTTATAACGCTCAGTACGGATATTGTTCTCGATGGTACGCAGGTCCATTGGATCTTGGATGATCTGGTAGTAGTCTGGGTAATCCTTCTTAGAGGGCTTCACCATGAAGAGATCACAGAGGTGCCGTCCAGTGCCTGCCTCACGTGCCTCAGTCACTGCAGCATACAGCATCTTCATTCGGTTTTTCTTGGTGTTCTTCTTGTGGCTTTAAAAACCAGATTATGGTAGCAAAAAGAAAAGAATGCTAAAAAATTATTCCTGATTGCAAGTCATATGGGTGAAAAATAATGCGAGTAATGTCATTTAAAAATCACCTTTTCCTTTTACCACTTCCCAATTCTGAATTTGCAGTAGAGACGTCCACTTCATTGTCATCTCGGAGCTCTCTTTTCTTTTGCTAGAACACAAATTCAACCAAAATAACCCTTTTACTCATTTCCCTGAAACACTAGGACATTCCTGCAATAGGTTTCTCACTAGGTTTTGGAGAAGAGCTTTAGTTCTTAAAGCAGACTGACCTGCATTATTTGCTGTAACCTCTGAGCACGTTTCCTTTTACCACTTCCCAATTCTGAATTTGCAGTAGAGACGTCTCCTTCATTGTCATCTCGGAGCTCTCTTTTCTTTTGCTAGAACACAAATTCAACCAAAATAACCCTCTTTTACTCATTTCCCTGAAACACTAGGACATTCCTGCAATAGGTTTCTCACTAGGTTTTGGAGAAGAGCTTTAGTTCTTAAAGCAGACTGACCTGCATTATTTGCTGTAACCTCTGAGCACGTTTGTATATGGTGGAGTTGGGCATGTTGTAGCGTTTAGCATTCTCAAACATTAACGTGAGGTCAGCCTCAATCTGCTCAACTCCTTCATAGTCCCCATTCTTCATTTTATCCCTATAAAGAATATAAAACATGAAAAGTGTGTGTAAATGTTTACTGTTTTCAAACTTTACGATTCAAATTAGTAGATATATCATGTGGGTTATGCACACCTGATCTGTTGTAGGCAGATGGGGTTTTTGATCTGATGGTAGTAGTCTGGGTATTCCCTTCGTGTGGGCAGTTGGAGGAAGGGTTCAGCGAGAAGCAGCCCCTGAACGCTTCGGGCTCCTCGCATTGACTGGTACAACAAGAAGATTGGGTCACCTGCACTGAGACCGCAATCGGCCTCCGATTCTCCAGTGTCATAACGTACAGTGCCTGAGACAAAGTATAATGACAGACAAAGTTACTTCAAAGAACAATCCTTCAGATATATTAAGTTGCAGACCTTGCCAATGTATTTTTGAATAAGTAGAGTTGGCAGACTCTCTCAAATGGATTGCTATAGACCAGGGATGGGCAACTGGCGGCCTTGGCCCGCTGGATCATTTTAGACTCAGATGATCCATTTTAAAACATTAGAAAAGCAAGTCACGTAAAAATTGCTTTCAGTTTATGATGTTAATACTATCTCCAACCAGGAGAGGTCGCTAGTTTCCTGCCGCTCCCCTATTAATTTCAGCATAGTAGGACGTGCACTCTGATGTAAACATTCATTAACATTAGCAAATAATAAATGAAAAACTGTTGCTATATGGATTAATATGACGATTAAACTTCAAAAGGATACGATTTCACTGAATAAACTTGAGCGCTGCAGGTCAGCTTTGTGTACTGCGATTACCGGGGAAACCACTATATGCGCAGTTTCGAAAGTGAAACCTGCGGGCAGAGAACGAATTTGCTTTTTCAATAAGCCCATCTGCTATTTTTGCTACATATTTTTAAATGTGAACCAGTGGATCGACAAAAAGCTAATGCATTATAAAAATCTAAACAATTAAGACACTAAGATATATTTATATATGTTATTTAATATAATAATTCATTGATGGTAATTGTTTAAATTAATGTAATAATTGATACTTTTGACTCATCCCTTTTCTTAAAAAATTGTTTAAAGGCTGAAATGTGAAGTGCAGATCCTTTTAGGTTGTTTTGAGAATGTTCTGTAGGCTACTAATAAAAAAGGACCTCTGTATATTTGTTTGTTGCAAATTTACAGACAATGCAATTGAAATGTTTACATTGGCTTGTCGGGGTAATATTTCTGTCCACTGACAACAAAGTTTTCCTTCTGAATTAGCATAACTGCACAAGTTTTATACTTAATAAAATCTTTAAAAACAAATGACATTAGTTATACTTTAATTTCCTTCAATAAAAAGGAAATAGAGTAAGACGGTGTAAAAGGTGTGTGGATGTGGATGAGTAATCTGGCCCCTTGGTATAAAGGAGAAAAAATGCTGGCCCTCGTCACTATCAAAGTTGCCCATCCCTGCTATAGACAATGGGAACTGCAGATACGTACCTTTGAGAATAGAGTCTTCTTCACTTTCAGATCCAGCCTGAAGAGCCATAGTGATGGCAGACAGCCGGTCACCCTGAGCAGACCTCCGATTTCTAGCAAAACACAGCATGTTACAGACTAAAACATGCATCTTCAAAGCAACCAGTTGAGGAAAAGAAGAAATACCTGATGCGGAGGCTAGATTTAGTGGGTTCAGCCTGCTCAATCTCAGTCCTTCTCTGGGCAAATACCTTCTTAATTGTGTTTGCATCCTTTAAAAAGACAAAAATTAGTTTATGTTGTATACAAGGAGTTATAGTTGATGAATAGACAACAAGGGTATAAAGTGCACAAACCTTGAAAACTTGTGACCCTGGCTCATTGTATGCTTTGGCATTTTTTGTCAAAAGATCAATGTCCTTGGCCATGGCACTGATGGATTTGTAATGTCCCGCCTAAAAACAGAACACAGCAAGTAAGCCATTTCATGTCAATATTAGAGATTTCTGATTCATTGTGTAAATAACTAGAAGAATAACAAAGTGCAGTACATGGTAAAACTATTGCGCTACAAACCAGTGTGTTTCCGATTATGATGATAA